TTTTTTTACGTATTTAATTTTGAAATGTCGAACAAAAGGGCGGCCAAGTCTCTCAGTAAGGCTTATAAAAGGTTGGGTTTGGCGTTCATAACATGTGAATCCTGGAAATGTTGGATGTTTTGTCGTTCTTGTGCAGGTCATTATCACGTGATGGTTGTCGTGCTGCTGATGCCGGTGATGATGCAGCGACTGATATGTACACTTATAATGCTGTCCTGGAAACACCCAGTAAAGCAGTAAAAAGCGAAATGGTCAGTTTTAGTTCACTGAAATATTTCTGTGTCTGTGCATTATTCAGACCATTGTTATATACAAGCTCTGTCCAACTTAGGACATGGAAGACGATAAGTATGGCTTCGAATTGCTGTGTGAAACAAATCCCATTTTCGCAGATATCTGTCCGCGAAGCACTCCCTTCTGTTCATCGGTCTTTGACGTCCCCGAACAAGCCAATGGACCATTAGAAAGCAGGTTCGTTAAAAGCATACAGAGATCGCAGAATATCGCTGGTGCCCTGTTCATTTGTCTTACTGTCTTGCCCGTGAGTCTTGTGTTACTCTTCTAGTTAATTATATCGAAGTATGGTACACTGCTTTTCACTAAAGTCTCTGCCATTCACTGTGTAGTCACTGGGTACTGAAATCCTACTAATTATTTATAACATTATGTTTTTGGCGGTGCGGTCACAGTTGCTAAAAAAGAAAAAAAATCGTTGACGGAAGCAGGCGTTTAATAACCGTACATGTATGAATGCGTTGAAGTTTTGTGCTCTCTCTCTCACTGGCCTGCTAGTTTTATTGGCAAATAGAATGCTTAATTAGTATTTGTGTTGATGAATATCTTTAGTTTGTGCGAACCAGCGAGTTTTTTGGAACAGCATATGGCGACTGCTCCGGCTAGTAGGACGGGTAATGAGTTGATCGTTTTACCGTCAAGAAGGACTGTGCCATCTGCAAACGAAACTCGCTTGTTGTCACAGGTTTGTGAAGTTTTTTACCGCTTAAAAAGCATATTCGCCGCTGTTTCATTGTCGGCTAGTTGCGCGGGGTACATTTCTTTTTCATGAAATGCCTGCTTCAGAGTGTGGGTGCTGTTTCAAAATCGACTTCTTCTGTCGCAGATTCGTCCTCACAACTTGCAGAAGAAACGGTGGAAGTGGTAAGTCGTTATTATTCTTGCTCTTTGCTAATCTGTTTTTCAAATTAAAAGATGTATGACTGGATTTGGTCTCTGCTGCTTCCATCTCATGCAAGCTTGCCGGTTATGCTTCGACCTGACATTCTGTCTTTCTGCTTGAATTGCAATCTTAATAGGGATTTTTTTGCTATTCTAAGATAGTTTTATAGAAGTACCTTTTATTGGTAGTTTTACGATAGGGATCTTGTTAGGAATTTCGCGCAAAAAATTTTCATGATTGTTTAATCATTATTCAACCGGTTTTTCGTTTTTGGTTAAAGCTGCCACTGTTGCGCTCCTAAGATCGTAACAGAGTTGTTTCAGAATTCAGTAAAATGGTTTCGCATAACCTGCGGAGCGACGCCAGATCAGGTTACTTACAATTTCTAAATTAGCGAAGCTAAAGCGCTGCTTTTGTAGCTTTTCTATAGCA